TGCGGCTGTTGTTCCTGGTGCAACTGCAGCTGCTCTGCTCCCCTCCACTCCAGGAGTGACTCCTCCTCCTCCTGCCCCTGCCCTGTTGCTCCAGATGGGGGAGTTCAGCCCCACTGCTCCCGCTGGAGGCGAGGGGCGCAGAGCAGCACCTACCAGCTGTAGCCACACTGGGAACAGCCCTGCCAGAAGCTGTGCTGGGGCCAGAGACATGCAGACAGGTGGGAGCACAGCACGTGCTGCCCTGGTGAGCTCTGCTGCACATGCCTCTGCCTCCCTCTCCCTCCCCTCAGCCCTGGCTGGCTGCCAGGTAGCCCCCCCCACAATATGCACACGCCTCCCCCTCCCCGCTAGTCAATTCCCCCTCAGAGGGCAGGGTATGCAGGGAGCAGATCACAACTGTCCAGCTCCTAAACACTGGTCTACAACCCACCCAAAACCCCATAGGGAGTCTTAGTGAATTACTGGGGTTGAGGGGGTGCCAACCTCACTGCCACAGCTCATCAAAACTCCCTAGGTGGCCCACAGGCCCAAATAATTGCCCACCCCTGTTATAACCCCATTTCTTCATTAGTTCCTTGGAGCATCCAAATCCAGCAGTAGCTAGAAAATGATATTTAGAGATTTGCTTTTTGGAATTGGCTTGTAGGTACAGAAGATATTGTGTTAGAACATGATCCAAGGAAAAGGCAAGGATTCACTGGTTTCAAAAAGCCTGTTTGTGACAAAGTTTCCTTCAAGGCAGACACCTGTCTGAAGCCAACAAACAAGCAGGAATAAACAGGGTGGGAAATCTGGACAGTGTACCCATAACATGAGATAAAGTGACATTAGGTCACAGTAATCAGCTGCAGAGCCCTTGAGATTTCTGGTTTTGGTGGATGGACCAAATTAGTAGGCCAGCAGATGGCCAAATTAAGACACTGGTAAATGACCAAATTAAGATGCGTGCATGTGATGGGTTTGGGAAACAAAGGAATATGCTGACAGAACAGAACATGGCCAGTATAGCGATCACAGGGAAACCTTTCAGTGGAGATGAAGAGTCATCAGAGGAGAGAAAGAACACTAAACGAAGCATTTCAGAGTAGCAAAGGGACCCAGAGGGGAGATCCTGGGGCTACCATGGACAGAGGGCACACCACCAGCCCTCTTACTCCCTCAACTTGGCCCTTGGCCTCCAGGCTGCTGACATCTGACATTCAAGAAAGAACCACAGGATGAAGCTGTTATCGAATGGAAGAAGTCATGATTGATCTGAGGGTTTGGGTCCACCCAGAACAAGGTATCTGGATCATAAACCCAGTGTCGACATCTGGTATGTAGGCTGTTGAGACATCACCACCTTTGCCATGGTTCATCAGCCCCTGGGAGTACGGACTCAGCTGCTGAAGTGTCCATGTTTGTGCTGCCAGGTATTTTCTTCAGGCTCTCGTTCCAGATCTATAATCATGTCTCCTTGGGTGTGACTTTGAGAGGTTGGGTGGTGGTGATGGAGCTCCTGCATGACTTCAGACATTTGTGTGCGGTAGGATGGTCGTACAGCGGGTGTCTCACATCTTCAGTTTGTCTCGATCATTCTATCCTGCTGGGCACTGCTCTTCTAATGTCCGGCAGAGTGATGCCAGCCAGCAAGTACACAGTGTTTTGGCTGGTAGGCTTCATACATCCTGTGATGCATTGCAGCTATCATTCAGGATGGGGTCAAGGCACTTAGTGTGTATAGATCTCTCCCATACAGGCCATGCATACTCAGCAGAGGAAAAGCTAAGAGCCAGAGCAGTGGTTGGGAAGGTTGAGGAGCTAGCTCCCCATTTTGAGTTGGTGAGCTTATATAGGATGGTGTCATGAGTGCCCACCTTTGCTTTTGCCTTTATAATGTATTCTTAGTATAAGAGGGTTTGACTGAGGATGATTCCAACATCAATTGGATTTGGACAATAGAATAATCAGCTCTCAGGCTCAAAGCCATTGTTTTGGGCTGTTATGCACATGTTGTCTGCATAGATAAAAGGGCTTTTTTGGTTGGTCATTTGTATGGATGTTATATGACAGCAGTGCAAGTAAGCTTTCTTGGGGGAGGCCATTAATCTGTTGCCTCCATCTGCTTCGCGTTCCATCCCTACAAAAAACTGCGCTACAAAAAACACTGAAGCAGAAATTGGTGAAATGTGCTTTTTGGTGAAACCTGATTAGCAGGACACAGAATTAATACAGGCCAGTGGACAATTGATGGATATCAGACTCACTTTGAAGTCACCAGTGGAAGAACGCAGTGTAATGCAGGCTCTTATTGTCATAAAAAGGCTCTTGCTTGCTTCAATGTTAAGCCTCTTGTGAAGCTCACACAAAGCTGTGTGCAAGAATAATGTGTGAAACTTTCACCCTCCCTAACCAGAAGACAGTGCCTGAGTTGCCATGCAAGTGAAGATAAAGTAAAATAAAAAGAATTGGTATAAAGTCATATATATATTATGAGACAGGTGTCTAGGGGCTATAGCCTTCTTTCATATGGCTGATGTAAATACACAACAATAACTATAATATTATGTTTAAGTGGTTGAACCAGACAGTTGCATCAGGAGCAGCAGAGTGTATTGTTGTTATACGTCCTTCATATTTGCAGACTGGGCACTGAGTCCATGGTCTGCTCAGGGTGACCACAGTCACACACTCGAGAGGTTTTTATTTTCCATTTGCACATCAAGTATCCACATCTTCCATGGTTTGTGTGGATATGGTATAGACTTGCAACTGAGCGACGTGGGAGGTCAAAGCCAAGCACCTTCTGCATTAGATCTATCACAAGATGTATATTTGGGACTTCCTGTGAACTCCATTTGGTTTCCCAAGTGTGACAGGAGCACCTCTCCAGGGTAGCTATGCCAGCCGGCCTACCCACAAGTCTAGGGCAGTCTGCCCTGTCTCGCCTGCTATGACTTGATCTAATATTGTTTTTTATGAGCAGGCGGCTGCCCATTCACTACCCTGATGCCAAGGGGTGCTATCCACAGCTCCGTATCTTCCCTATGCCGTGGTCCATGCCTCACAGTTGGCATCCAAACAAGTTCTTACACCTCAAACCTAATTTGGCCTCACAACATCTGAGGACTTACTGGGGTCGTGACTTGCCCTAACTCCCTGGGTCAGCCACGACTATCACTCTTGTCCCTTCCTGGGCAACTGGGTCAGCACATGAGCCGGCCCATCCTCTAGGCAACTGCCACTCTCACCCACCTCTGGGCAACTATTCACAAACTCTCACATTATCTCCCTATGGGGTTGGCCCATGTGCTGTCCTTCAGGGTGCACACACGCACCTACTCGGTGTCATGACCCAATGATTGTGTGTGCGCTTCAGCACTGCAGAATTATTTCCCGCCACATGGAGCTTTCTTTGCACGGTGCAATTCTCAGCTGCAGAGAGAAACCCCAGTGCAAAGGAGTTCCCGCCACCTGTATGTAAATTTGTTCCCCTTTATTGGCTGTTTCTAAATTATTCCCCTGTGGCGGCGGCCTATTCCCACAGGGCGGCTAGCGATTGGCTTGCTAGCCGTATAAGAGGCTTCAGCAGTTTCCGCCCAAGTCGGAGATCTCTGAGAATCTCAGGAGGATCCTGAGAACCCCGATTCCAAGAATTCCGGGAGAAATCCGAGAGAATTCCGGCAAGGAGTCCACGATTATCTCGTGGACTTCTACGTATATCTCGGACCGAATGATGGTTTGATCAGCCATCAAGAATCTCTCCCCGTCACCGGACGATCCCTGACGTACCCCTGCCCTGCGTACTTGTTGAGAGTCACAGCACGTACTCTCGTATCGGTTTAGAGAGCTCTCATCGTTCGAGTTTTCTTCTTTTCTTCTTTTCTTCCATCTACAACTGTAACCAAGCAAGTTTTCCTGCCTGCACCGCGACCATCTACGGTGTAAGTAAAATAATCTTTAATCAACCTCTACGCGTCAGTGCCTAATTCTAGTCTGCCGTGCCGACTTCCCCGGCCCACATGACCAGGCTGCTGGCCACAGCCCCTCGGCCCCGACACTCGGCACACCTTTGGACCTTGAGGCCATCACTTCAGCCCTACTCAGCCCCTAAACACACAGTTCTTCAGGCCGCCAATGTGCACCCTGCTCTGTGTGGGCCCATACAACTACTCCCTTCCTGGGGTCACACAACTACCCCCTCTCCGGGGCCACACTACTGCCCCCCTCTCTGGGGCTCTTGGGGTCTTAACACGTCCCCATACATGGGGCTTAGGTGCCATGATAGGTGTGCCTGGCCCTGACCCACATAATTACCTACTGAGGAGTGGGGGCTAGGGTCATGAAGTGCCCTTCCTTTCCTTTCACCAAGGAGGTAACAGGCCTGGCATTTCTTGGGGACTCCCTCGCCACAGGGATCCACACCAGGCTACCCTGCCCCAGCAAGGTGCAGTTTCAAGTCAGGACCAGGAGGCTCCAAACCATCCCCAAAACTCCTGCCCTTACCTCCAACGTGTTCTGGGAGCAGGAGCAGGAGCTTGGCAGGCTGATGCTGCTGCCTCAGCCACTGGCAGCAAACTGTGGCCTGAGTTTGTAAATGGCCGCCCTAATCAAGCACCTGCCGGTTACCTGCTCCAGCCCTTAAAGTGGCAGGTACCAAAAAAGGTGCCTGGCCACACCAAGCTTCATCAAGGTTGAAGTCACATTGATGGAGGCTAAGCACATGGATCTAGGAGGGTTTGCACCACTTTAGGCAATGGTGAAGGGCATTGTTGAGGTTCTGGTGGATGGGGAAACAGTTGTTTTCCTTAATTCTCTGAACTTCCCATAGAGGTGCTGCATTATGAGGAATGGGTGGAGAAGCAATGTGCGGTGGAGTGACAGAAGCAGCTCATGCCAGTTCCTCAACAACAGACTGCTAGAAGGCTCAGTGCTTGCACCAACTCTCTTTAAAGTATGAACAAGCCACATGCCATCAATAAAATCACAAATTAGTATATGTGAATGACCTTGCTTTGGCAATGCAAGCAGCCAACTTCAATGACATCCAGTTCACCTTGAATGAGGACCTGAATATCATGAAGGAAAGTTTTTAGGGCTATAGTAAAATGGTTCCTTCAGGATCAGGCTGTGGGATTCATGTATAAATTTTCCCTCTGGCATGCGACAAAAGGGATGTTCTGATAAACAGGTTTCCCAAGGGAGATGCTACAGGTTGTGCATGTCTAGGAAGATGGAGAAGCCCATTTTCAGGGAAACTGATGAAAGGTGGTGCATGTGGAGGCAGGAACACAACCTGGATGTGGTGCGGTCTGCCTTCTCTCTCCTTTTCTGCTTAAACAACAAATAACAGTGGAGTAGAGGGATGGCAGGTCTGGGGGAAACAGGACAGGGGCAGATGGCAGTTTGAGGGAGTGTGAAGAGGCTGGGCTGAGGGGCTAGAGGCAGACAGGATGTACCCCATTCCCCATTCCCCTCCCACCTGAGAATTTGAACCAGCAAGTGAGGGTAGTGTGGTTTCCCACCAAAGCCTCTACTCAGTAATGAGGGGAAACAAGGAAGCAGGAGGGATCTCATAGCTGCCGTTCTGTCTTCCCTTGCTCTGTGTTCACATCTCCTTCCCCTGCTCCCTCTCCTTTTTGTATCCTCTGTGTGCCCCTGTGTGACAGAGGATCCCGGGTAAGATGGACCTATGATCTAACCCAGTAACTAGTAGTCCTTTGTTCTTATGACTCACTTCTGTTCTTCAGTCTTAACCTCTCAGCTCCCACACCCCTACATCCAAGTCACCTGGCACCCCAGCCTCCCATCCCCTCCTCCTTCCTCCCTGTCACACAGACCCTCCTGCTCTCCATCGGCCCCTTATCCAGTGCTGTCCCCTGGCCCCCTGCACTTCTGTCAGAAGCCATCTCTCCTCAGAGGATCCTAGCTTCAGTCTCATCCAAAGCCCTAGAAGACGGTAGCCATCCTTAATGAGGGCAACCTCACGGCCATGTTATGCTGCACTGTGATGGCAGGGAGGACTAACTTCCCTGCAGATGGCAGGGCTATGGGGGAAAAAGGCCAAAGGAGACCATGGGGTCAAATGAGCAGTAGCAGCTTGAGGGGTGCTGAGATGGAAGGATCTGGAAAGAAACCAGGGGCCTTTGAGGGCCCCTGTGGAGGAGTGGTTGGGTTTTGGGGGGGGGGGGGGGGGGGGGGGGTGGGTGGGGGGGGGGGGGGGGGGCAGGTTGTGGAGGGCACATCTGTTCCAGCTGAGGAGTGAAGACAAGATCCTTTTCCTGCCAAAACCCCTGCTGAGCCAGGGCAGTTTGGGCACTGCAGGGATGGGATGAAATGGAGTGGAGCAGAGCCCCACACTGCCATGGGAAGGATTCAGCCTAAAATGCCTCCTCCCCCAGCTCTCATGGGACTGGGGGAAGTAGGATGTGGGGGAGAAAGATGGATATAAGGGGACATTGGTTAGAGGTAGAATGGGGAATAGATGGGGTGACGGAGGCCAAAGCACATGGTGAAGTCAGGGAGAAGAGTGAGGGTGGCTGTGAGGGGACAGGGAGAGTGAGGCAGAGTTGGGGGGAGGCAGGCAGTGTGAGAGGCCATGGCATGGGGCTGGTGAGGGAAGGAGGAATGAGGGGACACAGGGCAGGGTATAAAATATCAGAGGTGACCAGGGCTCCTTGCTCCTGGCTAAAGGGTCTTTCCCGTCTGCTCAGGATTCGACCAATCACCATATTTCAGGTCAGGTAGGAATTCTCCCCATTGTCAGATTGGTGCAATATGGGGGGTTGCTGACTTCCTCTGTAGCAGGAGTCATGGCCTCTACCTCAGATCTCTTGAGTGTATATTAACAACCATTTATAGAGGCAGGATGTTGGCTGCTGCGGTTTCCCCAATTTCGCTGTGGGAGGATGGAGATATCACGTGTTGTGTTGTGTCAGGGTTGAGGGTAGTTTTACAAGGAGTTCAGATTCTAGATTTGAACTGGATGGTTTGGATAGGGCTGATCCTGCCTCAGGCAGGCTCTTAGACTAGATGACCTTTGGCATCCCTTCCAACCCTGCTTCTCTGTGAATCTGTGACTCCTGGTCCCTCCATCTCTAGCCTTAGTCCCCCTCAGGCCCCTCTTTCCTCCAAGAGAATAGAAATGTCATTGTTGCTGCGGAAGCTGATGACATCTCAGTTGTGTAATTTGCATAATTGGACAAAACTAGAACCAGAGCCATCTCAAGGGAGACTTCCCCTTTCTCTGAATCACTGGCTGGAATTTGCCAACTTCTAAACTTATCCTGACATCACAACTGCAATCCACAATGCTCCCAGTTGTGTCTCTCTCACCTGGCCCCAGGTAATAATAGTCTCTGCAGTGTCATCACCTGAGAAGGACCTGTTCCAGGCCCATTAGCCCTTGTGCTCCAGGGAGTTGCGGAGCCCAGCTGGGGTCAGAAAAGAACCTCCCTCCATGACTGGGGACAGCATTGCTCATTGTGGTGCATTATCGGAGGCTGAGGCCACCTTTAAGCATGTGATGTGCCAGGTAGACAGTTATTCTGGGTGAAGTGGGGCCATGGGACAATATTGTGGTATCTACGGCTCCTTTTAGGAAGTGCTGAAATTTGCCCAGGACAGGTGATCTCTGTATTGGCAGCCTAGGTGTGGGGCTGGTAGAAGCTCACCATTGTTGCCCATATTGGTGAAGGGGAGGGGCCATGTCTATCTGAAAAAGCAGATGTGGTTGGCTGGTGGTTGCAGAGATCTGGATCTGCTCTGACCACAGTGGAGTGTGTGGAGAATAAGGTGTGATGAGGAAGAAATGGGCTGAGAGCACTGCTGGCTTCCTCTGGCCACTGCCCCAGCTCACTTCCTTCTTTGGGCTCACTGGAACATCACTTTCCATGACACAGGGGATCAGGGCATTGGTAGTAGCACTGGGGGACTGCTCAGTGCATTCAGCATAGCGCCTGCTCTCACAGTCCTCCTCCTGGGTGAGTTCCAGAGACATCCAGGCTATGTGCCTGTGGGACAGAGAGTGACATGACACCAGGGCCTGTGCCCATGCGCAAATTTGAGATGAGGGCACGTATCCATGGTCAGAGACCAGGATCTGTGTTTATGGGTTGGGAGCAGGGTCCAGGGCATGTGCCCTAGGGAGGGGCAGGAAGGAAGGGTCTGAAGATTTAGTACCATTTTCATGTGCCCATGCAGGGCGTGAATCCCTGAGACCAATATCTGAGGGAAGGTGGGAACTGGAAGACAGCAGTTCCTTTGGGTGTGAGTCCTGGAGCCTCTTCCCTCTCAGTTAAACTAGTCTGGGGATCCCAAATTGGGAAACAACATACAGGGGCGAGTGTATCATTTGCTGGGATCTAGTCACTGATGAGCTGTTTGCTTCCCAGGTTGCTGGCTGGCTCTTCAGAGCAGGGCATGGGGAGGTGAGTAACACCCATTCCTCACCCTATATCACACAAGAATTTCTCCCCAGAGCTCAGGCCACATCTCCTGCCTCCCTCCCCCCTGCACCCAAGGGAGAAATGGAGTCATTGAAGCAGGGCCTGGTTGACAGCTTGAAAAGCAGCAGAGATTCCTGCTCTCACTTGTCTATGTCTCTTGCCAAGCAGGCATGGGAGTGGGAACCTGAATATCCCAGTCTGTACTAGGGCTGAGAGGGCCCTTTCCTGTGCTCTGGGCACCTCTGATGTAGTCCAACAATATTCTGGAGTTGTGCTGGTCTTGTACCATAGCTGGCATGGCCAGGGTTGGGCGGGGACTAACAGGTGCTTTTGCACTATAAATCATAGTTGAGTACACCCTGTAGTGCAGTGATTGGAGGTCACCCACCATGGAGTTGACTCTATTTATTCCAAACCCAGAGCAGCAGGGTCTTCTCAGCTCAAGTCTTCTCTGCTGGCTTGGCTGTGCCTGCAGAGTCAAGCAACACGGCGACCTGTGCAGCAGCCAGGACCTGAGCTGAACCAAAACAGCCGCTGGTCAGACACAGCTCAGGGAGGGCAAGGGCTGGAGTCTGAGGGAGGCAGATACAGACAGAGGGCTGGAGCAGGAGAGTTGGGCTCATGTCTGCTCATCTAATTGTTGTCTCTCTTTCAAATTAGAGTACCCCAAGCCCCGCATCTCTGTGATCCCCAGCTGGGTGGTGGCACTTGGGGGGAATATCACTATCCACTGTGAGGGTTTGTACCCAGGCATGAAGTTCTATCTGTACAAAACTGGACACACAGACCAGCTGCAGCAGGAGGTGCCTGGGGGGAACGTGTCTGAATTTCCCATCACCAAGGTGAGCTGGGAAGATGGAGGAAGCTACACCTGCAACTATCACCCCATAGTGGATAGGAACAGCTGGTCGTATCTCAGTGACCCTGTGGAGCTGGTGGTGAGAGGTGAGGGGCCCCCATGTCTCTGTCTCACCCCCACGAGACCCTCCGCAGGTTTCCATGCTGAAGGCTGATGCTGGGAGCGTGGCTCTACCCTAAGTCCTGAGGGCCTGGAAAAGGATGTTACTTATCCAGGGCTCTGCCTGCTCCACAATTCCCACCTATACCCTAGGGGTAGGGGTCTTCCCAGGTGGGAGTTACAGGGCAAGAAGACTGTCTCCAGCTATACGTTGATTACAGAGTGAGGAGATGATGTGTGTCCTGTTATATCATAGCACATGTATGTACTATAGAGCAGAGCTGCACAACCCTGCCCACAAGCCCAGGTGGAAATCTGAACACAACCCAGGTGTCCTGACTCCTGGCCTGGTGCTCAAACCAACCAGCCCCGTCCTGCCCAGAGCTGTGAGTGGAGAACAGGAGTCCTGCAATTTGGTCTCCTTATTGTACTCCCTGGGCACCAGAGACTTATACAATGCACATCGGGAGCTTTGATGAGCTGTCGGGGACCAGGGCGGCCCCCCAACAACTGGCCAAAATTCCCTGTGGGCGGGGTTCGGATTATGGGTGGGGGGTTGACCACCCCCAAGAGACCAGAGCTCCCGGCAGCCGAGCAGAAATTACTAGTTACCTCGGGGGAAAACGGCCAGTCCACCCGTCGCGGCCCGGCGTCGTTTGCTGCAGCCGCCCGCAGCCCGTGCTGCCCCGCGGCTTCTCGCCGCCGACCCCCAAGAGCCAAAGTGTAACTGGA